AGATATGCACTGGAACAAAATTCTACTCTTATGATTTAAGGCAAAAAGCGGTAGAATGAAAAGTCGAATAGGCCATAGCATATAAATATAAGCCATTGGAACTGACATTGTGCCGTAGGCTGAGGAGGTTTGAGAGGAAACAACAGGAGTGGCGTAGGTGGCAGTTGTGCTGTTATTGTTGTGGTTGCCGGGATTCGAGGACTGGGAAGGCCGCCGATAATGACCCAGAGTGGAAGAATTGGTTTCGTTGCAGGCCGCTGCACCCCCGCTGCCTGCAGTCGCATCCCCATCTGCCTCGTCGGTCTGAAAGGCGGGTAAGTAAAATTCATTTGCAATGACAGCAAGGACAGAAGCCTTAAAGGAGCAAGCAGCAGCAACAGCAACAGCAGCCAGGTGGAAGGTGGGCAAAAAGTAGGCTGAAAAAGGGCGACCATAAGACGACCGAAGAAACAAACCCACCTTCGAAAGAGGTACCGTCTTTGAAACCACATCAGTGTAGGAGAATGAAATTCAGGGCTACCACACCTTACTCCGGTGAAATATTCGTTTTCTTAGTAAGAAGAGGCCAACAACTTTTGCGAAATCCGACGAATTTTTGCAAATTAGGAATCCGATAAATTCTGAATCAACATGCGTGCTTCTCGTGACAATCGCTTCCACACTCCAAAAGACAGTGGTCCATAGAGCTTCGACTTCGTCATCCAAGGTCACACACTAACGTTAGGGGGTCTCTCTGCCATTCGATGAAATCAGATATATTTTCGTCACTGTGTAGACTGCCTTTGCCACAAGAATAATATGTAGTTCATCAACCGTAATCTGTGCAAGCCCGGCGGCTAGAATTTTATAATCTTCCTCATGCAAATCGTGACGTCGTTATGGAATGTGCTCATTTGTCAGAGTTGAGAGCAAGATTGTGTGCGGCGCGCCTAGTTCTCGAGGGTTCTCTCTCTCTACTTGGTGCTTAGGGTTCCACCTTGAGCATCTCCTGTGTCGATTTGTTGTTTTCCTTTTTTTAACAA